CGATTTGGACGTTTTTCCAGAATTGGGATCACATAGGACGATTTGGACGTTTTTCCAGAATTGGGATCACATAGGACGATTTGGACGTTTTTCCAGAATTGGGACCATATAGGACGATTTGGACGTTTTTCCAGAATTGGGACCACATAGGACGATTTGGACGTTTTTCCAGAATTGGGACCATATAGGACGATTTGGATGTTTTTCAGAATCTTAATTAATCAAAAATACCTAATTATTTTGGAGAGGGAATCTCTAACGATGGAATTAAAATAAACTGATCTGGACAATCCTGAATAAAAAAAATTTTAATAAATATTAAACAACTTTGAATATTTTTCAGTCACAGCTTTATAATTATAATAGGATAAGTTTTCAATATGAGTAAACATACAGTGATTACAGATATAAAACGGATAATGATTGATGCGTTTGATTAGAAATACCATTTTGTGCACCAGTAGTTACACTACAATTTTACTGGCGATATTTATCAAGAGGAAAGACGACTGTCATTTCGATTTATTTTAATTATGACTGCATTAGTTTTATTTTATTTTCATTTTTAACCATCCATTTCTTGTTCCTCTCTCATTAACTGTACTAAAAAAAAACAAATAAGTGCGTCATTATTGTCTAAAAATTCTCCGGTATTGCGCGTAAATTCACATGGACGGGATTGAAAACAAAGACGATCTAGGCTGAGACCTGTAAAATGTAGAGCAGGGGAGGTAAAGTGCGGACCAGGCTGTAAATTCAACCCTAAATCAATTAATCAATTAAAAATACTATTTTGCAATTTTCATTAAAAATCAGTCAGTCAACATTTGCATTAATCTATTAATGGTTCAGTACAGTAATCAAGCATTGATTAATATATTAATGGTTCAGTAGAGTAGTCAAGCATTGATTAATCTATTTTTGGTTCAGTACAGAAATCAAGCAATGATTTTACCATTCAATAAACGATTCAATCAATCAATTAAGAATTAGTAAATCAATCAATTATGTAATAAATAAATAGATAAATAAATAAATAAAACAATGAGTTAATTAATTAATCATCCAAAAATTCAATCCATAAATTGATTACTCGATAAATAAAAAGAAAAAAATCAATAAGTTAATCAATCAATTAATCAATCAATTAATCAATCAATTAATCATTCAATTAATCATTCAATTAATTAATAAATTAATCAATCAATTAATCAATCAGTTAATAAATCAATTAATCGGTATGTGTTGACCAACCTGAGAAGGTTGTATTATGAAGATGAAGTGCTGTGACCAAGTCCAGATATTCAGAACCCGTTCTAGAGGAGAAGGAGGATGAGGAGGATGAGGAGGATGAGGAGGAGGATGTGGATGAAGATGATAAGGATGGAGGGGATGATGATGATGCATCTGGAGAGTTTCTGTGAAATGAGTTTTGAGTAGAAATTCCTGAAAATATAAAGAACATAATGATTCTGCTGAATTACATAGTCCACAGCTCCTAAAATCCAATACATTTGTAACAGCTGTTTTGACAGTTTCGTTCATTAAAAACAGCTGATTAAACAGCTGTATCTGTCATGAAAGATAAAGCACTCTACCCTACCTCTCAGCTGATTCCTACAGCTGGATTAGTCATGAAATAATATTGGATTTACTTGACCTTGAATTTTAACCAGATTCAACTTTAGTTTTACTAATTACTTCTAGTTCTACATTTTGCATTCATTTTCTTCTTTCCCATTGAGTCAAATGTTTTTGTCTTCAATAAAAAAGTCATTCTTGAAATAAAGTTTAAAGCACTCTTTTGCGTAACATATGCCCTTGCCTTATTTTTTATTTTTCTTGAACAGTTTTTAACTTTTTTCATCTTTTTAGAAGAATTCAATGTCTAACTTCCATTCCCCTACCATTTCCGGTAACTCCCATTTACTCACTTTACTCCCATCAACTCACTTTACTCCCATCAACTCACTTTACTCCCATCAACTCACTTTACTCCCATCAGCTCACTTTACTCCCATCAACTCACTTTTCTCCCATCAACTCACTATACTCCCATCAACTCACTTTACTCCCATCAACTCACTTTACTCCCATCAATTCACTTTACTCCAATCAACTCACTTTACTCCCATCAACTCACTTTACTCCCATCAACTCACTTTACTCCCATCAACTCACTTTAATCCCATCAACTCACTTTACTCCCATTAACTCACTTTACTCCCATCAACTCACTTTACTCCCATTAACTCACTTTAATCCCATCAACTTACTTTAATCACATGTACTTCTAAAAACTCCCATCAATGCCTATTTAATTCACTCCCCCTTATCAACTAATCCCTATCACTTTTCTTCACTTCACTCTACTTTTTAAATCCATTTACTCCCATTCAATCCCTTATACTTCTAAATACTCCAATGTATCCCCTTACATTATCTTCCCTGCACTCCCTTTCAACGTCAATTACCTCCCATTTAATCTCCTTCCCTTTTATTCAATCCTCTTTAGGTTGACATAGTTAAATGTTGACATAGTTAAATTAATCTCTTACTATAATCCATTTTGTTTCCTATCAACCTCTAACTTCTTAATCCCTTTTAATCCCATTAAATCCGTTTTTATGAACTATCAATTCCTTTCGCTTCTTTTAAATCCCTCTCAAGTCTAATAATTCCCCCAAAATCCCCCCCTTGATACCCTATCTAGATCCTTGATTATATAATTCCCCGTAAACTGCACTTGTAAACTAGATGTTCTGAATTGTATACATTTAAAGGTCTGTATAAACACCGTCCTGTCACTACACCACATATCAAGGACTAGCTCTTGAAAATATTCCCAACCAGGGGCGTATGCAAACAGGAGGGGGGGGGGGCATTGAGGCTAAACCCCCCTGGAAAAGTAATAGCTGTGGAATCGAAGGTAATTTTTAGGGGTCCCCCCCCCATTCCTCCTGAAAAGCTAAAATCGAGTCGCCTCCTAACCAATTATTCCCAAACTCGACTCTGCGGTTGCAGAAATATAAACTTGGAAAAAATAAAGAGACTGAAGCTTAAAAATCAATTTATCAATTGAAACGGGCCTGTGTAATACACAGTGTATCATATCATCATCTCTCATATCATCTCTTACTTTATTTCATGTTGATTGGAATACTCACAATTATGACTTGAGTCTAAACGTCGTCTTTAAATTTCAAAGCTGTCTGGTTCCCACTGTAGTAATAAGAAGGATAGCTTGAATAAAGGATGTATCTATATACAACATATCTGTAAAATTGAAATCTGAAAATTTAGTTTCCCGGTAAAATCGTTCAAGTGCGGGTAAATGGTGGAAGAAACGTTTAGTAACCTTGGCAGCGCTGGGTTCCCAAGCTAGTACAAATATGTACATTAAATAGTAATCTCCATTTCTTTGTTTGTATGTCCGATCATAACTCAGAAACCCCTTAACTTATTGTCCTCTAATTTAGATTGGGAAACTTTGAAGAATCACGGGTATGTTCTCAGTTTGGTTTTAAACTTCTAAATTGAGTGGGTCGACCTTTACAGGGATAAATGGCTAAAATCGTAATTTAAGACCAAGTGCAGGTAAACGGTGGGAGTAACCATGAGTACCATGGGCAACGCTGGTTTCACAAGCTAGTCTGAGAAAAGGATAAAACTGGGAGTTGAGACTAGTTGCATTATGTTAGTAACAGGTTTAATGTTTTCTATGCAAAATTTTGGCAAAGACGAAACAAGAAGTTTTGTGCAAATTGAGTTTGAAGGTTGGATAAACATTGGGGATATTTCTTTTTCTTCACGATGAGTGTGTTCAGTTTTAGCCGAGAGGCTTAAAGAACAATGTCAAGAATTGTTTAAAAGGATTTTGGGCGTAATTTCAAATGAGTACAAATCCTGGCATAAAATTAGGTTTAAAAATACAAATCCTGGTATAAAATTAGGTTTAAAAATACAAATCCTGGCATAAAGTTAGGTATAAAGAATACAAATCCTGGCATAAAATTAGAATTAAAGTGAATACAAATCCTGGCATAAAATTAGGTTTAAGGAATACAAATCCTGGCATAATATTAGGTTTAAAAAATACAAATCCTGGCATAAAATTAGGTTTAAAAATACAAATCCTGGCATAAAATTAGGTTTAAAATACAAATCCTGGCATAAAATTAAGTTTAAGGAATACAAATCCTGGCATAAAATTAGGTTTAAGAAATACAGATTCTTGCATAAAATTAGGTTTAAGGAATACAGATCCTGGCATAAAATTAGGTTTAAAGAATACAAATCCTGGCATAAAATTAGATTTAAAGAATACAAATCCTGGCATAAAATTAGGTTTAACGAATAAAAATCCTGACATATAATTAGGTTTAAAGTGTATACGAATCCTGGCATAAAATTAGGTTAAAGAATACAAATCCTGGCATAAAATTAGGTTTAAAGAATACAAATCCTGGCATAAAATTAGGTTTAAAGAATACAGATCCTGACATAAAGTTAGGTTTAAAGTGTATACAAATCCTGACATAAAATTAGGTTTACAGAGTACAAATCCTGACATAAAATTAGGTTTAAAGAGTATAAACCCTGGCATAAAATTAAGCTTGAAGAGTACAAATCCTAGCATAAAAATAGGTTTAAAGAGTACAAATTCTGGCATAAAATTAGGTTTACAGAGTAAAAATCCTGGCATAAAATTAGGTTTAAAGAGCACAAATCCTGGCATAAAACTAGGTTTAAGGAGTACAATTTCTGGCATAAAATTAGGTTTACAGAGTACAAATCCTGGCATAAAATTAGGTTTAAAGAGTACAAATCCTCGCATAAAATTAGGTTTAAAGAACACAAATCCTGGCATAAAATTAGGTTTAAAAAGTACAAATCCTAGCATAAAATTAGGTTTAAAGAGCACAAATCCTGGCATAAAACTAGGTTTAAAGAGTACAAATCCTGGCATAAAATTAGGTTTAAAGAGTACAAATCCTGGCATAAAATCAGGTTTAAAGAGTACAAATCCTGGCATAAAATTAGGTCTAAGGAGTACAAATCCTTGCATAAAATTAGGTTTAAAGAGTACAAATCCTGGCATAAAATTAGGTTTAAAGAGTAAAAATCCTGGCATAAAACTAGGTTTAAAGAGTACAAATCCTGGCAGAAAATTAGGTTTAAAGTGTACAAATCCTCGCATAAAATTAGGTTTAAAGAATACAAATCCTGGCATAAAATCGGTTTAAAGAATACAAATCCTAGCATAAAATTAGGTTTAAGGAGTACAAATCCTGGTTTAAAATTGAGTTTAAAGAGTACAAATCATGGCATAAATTTTCTGAATTCCTGTGGGTAAGATTATCACTGCTGAGTTTTATATGTCCCAAAGGACTATAGCTGCGTGTTTTTATTACTGTTCTATATTATTATACATCTAGCCCACAGAGGGATATAATATACAGGATTTGTAAACTCTAGATCATCATCAGGTTTTAAAAGAAATTATATAACCCTATAAAGCTATGGAATACACTTATACTCCGGTCCATTTCAAGTACCGGGCTGCCTTTTGACCAGGTAAACTGTACAATATAATTACAGACTTTGTAATGCAAACCGGGAAACTAAACCAAATAAATGCTCCGATCTTTTAGTCAAATTTATGTGAATAAAGCCCAGCTTTGCACTAAAATTTTGAATTTTTTAATGAAAGATATTATTTGAAGCTTTAAAAATCTCAAATACCTGGCATCCTTGAGACTTGAGAGGATAGATCTTTTGAAATGTTTAAAAAAACATATATTTTTTTTTATAGTTTTCTGGAACACTTTTGAAAATGAGAAAGAAGTTGCTAAAACGACAAACTCAATCAGTAATTTTTCGAAAAATAGAATAAATTTTAAGCATCCCCCTCCCCCCCATCCATAACTTACAAATGATCCTGAGGCGTCAGGGTAAACAGAGTGCTTGAAAAGTATTTAAAGATATGATTAAAATTGCTAATTAAGAAAATGATCACATTTCGCATGAGAGTGCAGTTGGGTTACTTTAATTACTCATTATTTTAAAGGGTTAAGAGTACATTGCTCCTCAGAATTATTCATTTAACCAGATAGATTATTTTTAATATCTGGTTTGTCAAAGTGTATTTTGTATACCAGATTACAGATAACATCTAGTTTACAAAAGAGTATATTAAATACCAGAACCAGATATATTAGAGATTATATCTGTTTATAAACGTTTTTTATACCAGATAGATTACAGATAATATCTGGTTTATTTAAGAGTATATTATATACAAGATAGATTAGAGATAATATCTGGTATATAAAAGAGTATATTATATACCAGATAGATTAGAGATAATATCTGGTTTGTAAAATTTATTTTATATACCAGATAGATTAAATTTAATATCTGGTTTATCAAAGAGTATAATATATACCAGGTATATTACAGATAATATCTGATTTATAAAAGAGTATATATTTTAACCAGGTATATTACAGATAATATCTGGTATAAAAAAGAGAATATCTTAAACCAGATAATATTACAGATAATATCTGATTTATAAAAGAGTATATATTTTAACCAGGTATATTACAGATAATATCTGGTATATAAAAGAGAATATTGTAAACCAGATATATAACAGATAATATCTGGTATAAAAAAGAGAATATTTAAACCAGATATATTACAGATAATATCTGGTCTTATAAAAGAGAATATTGTAAACCAGATATATTACAGATAATATCTGGTCTTATAAAAAGGTAAAAAACCTATTATGGTTTTTTAAACGATTAAAGTACTCCTTAAAGGGACTTTAGGCGTAATTTCATCTGACATTTCATATAAAGATGACAATGCTCGATTAACAGCGGTACCTTTAAAAGCTTTGTATGATCAAGTATGAATTAGATATAAATGTCTATAAATTTTAAAACTACTCCATAACAATTTACTCGAGGGGTCTATCAGCTAACACAATCAACCAGGACCAGCTCTAAATGCCACACAGGGACACAAGCATACAATATCATAGGACAAATCTCAGAATTTATACTCAACCAGGACCAGCTCTAAATGTCACACAGGGACACAAGCATCCGATATCATAGGACAAATCTCAGACTTTATATTTAACCAGGACCAGCTCTAAATGTCACACAGGGACACAAGCATCCGATATCATAGGACAAATCTCAGACTCTATATTTAACCAGGACCAGCTCTAAATGTCACACAGGGACACAAGCATCCGATATCATAGGACAAATCTCAGACTCTATATTTAACCAGGACCGGCTCTAAATGTCACACAGGGACACAAGCATCCGATATCATAGGACAAATCTCAGACTCTATATTTAACCAGGACCGGCTCTAAATGTCATACAGGGACACAAGCATACAATGATGTAGCACTCAATCTTAGAAACTATATTCAACCAGGACCGGCTCTAAATGCCACACAGGGACACACACATCCAATAATATAGAGCTAACTCTCAGTCTTGTGCACAAGCAATATCAGTTTTTGCCAATTATCTAGGTACAACCTCCGCTCGTATAATTAAACGAGGACACAAGCTATCTTTCAAGCCAAATTCTATCCAATGCTCTAAGCACAATCTCATGAGCTATCGATGTCAATCAGACACTAGCTCGAATCAATGCTAAAACAATTAGCAAAGATCTACGCTCATTCTTTGAACGAGAACACAGACTACTTCGCGTTTCTGCAATAAAAGCCGAGTCTCAATCAACTAACTTTATTCAATAGCTTAGATTAAAAAGTTAACCTATCTATCTACAGTGGTAAGCGATTATATCAATAAAATGTAGGTGAGTTTTTTATTTAAGTTTTGATTGTTACATGATTTTTTTAATTACAAGTTTACAAGTAATCATTGAGAAGCTTTTCTAATTAAAAGATTCTCTTGACATCTATGTTTAAATGTATTCATTTTGTTTAACAGCTTGATATAAATCAAAATTTAAATCGAAAGCCGTCTTCATTGTATTGATATAATCACCTACCACTATATTCACCTGTTTCTGTTTCTCCCACCATGATGAGTAAAAGAATGAGCAGAGTGTGGAAAACTGGGCTGGAATAGCAGAGACCGGAAAATCTGCCGGGCATGTCGTGTCACCTGGTCAAAGCTCTAAACCCTGATCAACGAGATAAATTTTAAAAATGAATATTTAACAGGGTCAATAAAAGGAGAGAAGAGGCCGGTGGGTTTAATCTTTTATAAACTATGTTTAAGGGATTTTAAAAATAGCTTTTTAAATTGTCTTAAGCTTTATTGCATTTAATTTTTGATATCATAATCTAAGAGTGAGCATTATTATTTTAAAGTTTAATACAAATGACTCTCTATAAGATAGATACAACTGTACCATTAAAACCTATATGTAATTAACATAGATAAATAAATAAACATAGATAGCTTATGTACGCAAAATCACCAAGAATTGTACAGTCCGCGAACTCATGTCGTCTAATGCGCAATCTATCTTTATCTATGGTAATTAACAAAAAAAGGATATTGTGGATTCACTTTTAAAAAAGTAATAAGTCTTATTTTACTTCATTGTTTCTGCCTAACAAATCCGCAATCCTCTTTTGTCAAGAAATTGCATAAATGTCATAATATATATAAATTATTTTTTCTCTGTCAAAGGTTTACAATTGATACCGTTGCGTCGACAATGCTTTAAAAGAGTATTTAAAGTTTTCATCTGTATGTCATACTTTTTTTTAATCATTATAATATCAAAGTGCAATAATATTAAGGGATATCTCAATTTTTATGCAATCAAAAACGTTAATTGTAACTTTTCCCAAAATTATTTTGAAAATCATTCTTTTAAGAATATGAAGCAAAATATACTTAAGAAAAAATTGAATTCCTAAATTCTGCAAAAGTATTTGGACTTATTTCGGTGACGTATTAGCATATTTTGTCTTAGAATATCAATGCAAAAGAACTTATGGAAACTTTTTTTTGAATATTCCACCTGCCATTGTCGATGGACCCAGTGAGAAAAAATCAAAATTGTCAAGATTTGAATAAGTCTGAAAAGATTTATTTAATGTATTTACTTTGCAGAATGTATGTATGTGATTGTGTATTCAAAACAATTTGCTAAATAAACAAGAATTTTTCTAACACACTTTTTGTTGTAAGTTTTTGAACAACACTAGGTATTTACATATTGCAAAACTAAGAATTGTAAGATGAAGGCTTTATCGGGATTGACAGAGAGAACACAAAATAAAGAAATTAAACCAGGAACCCTCAAGTCTATTTTGCATATACAGGTTCACCCACAAAGGATGAGAATGTAAAGACGACTGAAGACTCTTCAAATATGAAGATCCAAAGATTAAGTCAAGTCTGGTGGCTGAAATGTGGTCTGTAAATGGCTAATTTAATGAGTTTGCAAAAAAACAGCTTTTAGTTGCAGGGAAATATGGATATAAAGAAAATGACAGTTTTAATTCCGCACAGTCGTCTATGAAGTCCTGGTGGGAATCCAATTATATTATGTGTACTGCAAAGTTTCTGTTAGGAATCTAAACAAAAACTCCTTGATACTAAATAGGGTTTCCAATCGGTTGCGCGAAAGTTTGCGGAATCGTGCCGAATTGTGCAAGTAAAACCCACTTGCGTTGGAGACCATAGTAAAAAATAATTATGCTGTAGAGTTAAGTAAATTTATATTAAATTATCATTCAATAACAGATCCTACACTACTTGAATACAACAAATACATAAAAAGTATAACAAACCCAGATATTCAATGAACGAAGAATGTGTTCGAAAGTCAAGAATCAATGAGTGCTGAACACCTGAATAACCATATGGACCTTTCAAATTATAGTTTATAAATTCTTAGTAATAAGACATATCTCATTTCCACTAAACCCCCCCCCTTAAAATTAGGTTNAATTGACCCCCCCCCAGCGGGAATAGGGTTAAATTCCAAATATATATATTTAACTGAAAATGTGGATTCAGCTTTGAACAATTGTGAAAGGAATTCATTATTCATTTTAAACAATATTTCTAAAAGTTAAGCTTTCTATAATATTCTTTTATAAATTTAAACTAAAAATAATCTAAAATAAATCACCAGGAAATTGTAGCAACATTTTTTAGAATTATTTCTGAAGTAAAAAACTAACACACGCATGGAGCTGGGAAAAATGAAGAAAAAATCACTTTCAATTTCTTTTATTTATAAACTAAGCCACAACTTTAAACTTTTTAATTTTGACCTTATTATTATTGGAATTATTAAAGGTTAAACTATTAAAAGTACGTAGTAGTTTAGCGTGAGACAACATCTCATTTATTATTTTTCTTTTCTTCTGTGAACATTTTATCGATGGTAGTCCGCAACATTTTTTTTCAAAATTTCACAAAGTCTAGAAATCGAAAGTATATTTTGCCGAGACATTCACAGTGATAATTAATTTTCGTTTAGAAATGGTTTAAGTGGGCATATCGTTAAATCAATTTTAATAAATAAATAACAAGAAGACAATACGTCATGTGCGTCATATATAGCGCAGTAAAACCTGGAAATAGTTTTCAAGAAGTTAGTACATCCAAGCAAATGTTTTGATTCAAATAACTTTTCTTGATTTTTATCAGATCATTATGCACTTTAAAATCTAACAATATTTTTAGAAAAATCAACTTTAAAAACACGTCAAGAACAATTTTAAAAAGTTTTCAAAATTTATCGTATTTTCCTAACATATCCATAAGTGTATGATCTACACTGCTTGAACCTCAGTACTTAGTAGATTTAATCCCATCCTTAGAATCCTTCAGCTAAATATCACTAAATAGAAACTTTTTTTAATCTGCTCACTTTTTTTCAAACAATTGTAAACCTTAACCACACTTGCTCAAGTCTAGTTTGTAGCAATTGTACAGCGTTCTGTGCATACACTTGCTGATTGTATACAGTTAAATTGTAAGTAAAGGATTGGTGTAGGTGGGACGGATTGTATGATACTCACTACATGGAGTAGGGTTCGGGACTGAAGTTAGGAGCCGGGACTCATAAAGGAGAGAACCGGGGGGAGGATACTTCGATATACCACACTATATACCACACTATATACCTCACTATATACCACACTATATACCACGCTATTTACCACACTATATACCACACTATATACCACACTACATACCACACTTTATACCACACTATATACCACAATATATATACCACACTACATACCACACTATATACCACCCTATATACCACACTATATACCACACTATATACCACACTATATACTACACTATATACCACACTATGTATACCACACTATAAACCACACTATATACCACACTTTATACCACCCTATATACCACACTATATACCACACTATATACCACACTATATACCACACTATATACCACACTATATACCACACTATATACCACACTATATACCACACTAATAGGGTTTAACTGTACCACACTATACCAAACTGCTCTATAGTATACCCAACAAGAAAAAAATACAAAAAACGGAGGACAAAAGGTGCACCATTAATCATGTTGCGGAGATCGAAAAACGGAACTCCGATTCTCCAAAAAAGGAGGTTCGGCGGTATTCTATACTGATGCAATTGAGGTGCTCTGTTTGGTGCACCGAATGGAGTGATTTGCGGTGCACCATTTTTACTCCTCTTTTGGAGCTCCGCTAATACACCTCTTTTGGAACTCCGTTACGTCTCATTTTTTGGCGCTCTGTTACTACTCCTCTTTTGGAGCTCCATTACTACTCCTCTTTTGAAGCTCTGTTACTATACTCCTCTTTAATTAGGGTTAGTTTAGAGTACTTTTGCTACACCTTTTCTAGAGCACTGTTGCTAAACCCCATTGGAGCCATTTAAATTAATTATTATATATTCCTTTAAAAAGTTCCGGTAATTAACATTTACAAACATTAAATAGATGTATTTAACTAAAATGTATTTACCAAGCATTAACATATGCATATGTGATCTATTGGATACTTCTATCTTAATAATATGACTTTGAGCAGGGTTTATTACATATATTATATTTTTGTAAGTGTATTACTTATGAGCAAACACAAATATCAAATTCTAGGAAACATAATTTTGTTTAAAACAATAACAGTTTTATTTTCTCTATATAATCAAATTTTACTTTCAACTCTAGAGACCTCTTGTGGTAATATTTGGAACTGCCTAAACCTCCTGAAATGGAATTCTGAAGGGCTCCTCTTTTCGAGAACTCTCCTCAAACAGATGGAACAAGGAGGATAATCCACAAGAGGAGGAAATGAGGAGAACCATCCATTTTTGGTGGAAGAAAGGAGTACTCCACTTGCAGAGTAACTGCGGAGAACTTGTCAAAAGGAATTCCTCCGGAATTCAGTTTTTGGTTGACTCCACAAGAGGAGGAAATGAGGAGGATTCTCCATTTTCCAGGATAAAAGGAGTCCTCCTCTTGAGGAGGACAAGAGGAAAGCGGAGTAGATTTTCTTGCTAGGAAACCACATACTACCAAAAACTGGAGTAATTATACCACTAAAATATAATTTAGTTTTGAAAATTATGAAGAATGCATGAGGCCAATCAAGGAAAACTGAAAAAAAACTTTCAAACATTAAAAATATTTAACTCATCTAAGTAAGAATATATCTACATCTGTATGCATTTAATCTGGTTTACTCATTATACAGTACAAAACAAGTTTTAAACTGCTAAATAAGATTAAGGTTCCAATATGTTGGGGGGNTCTGAAGAGTGCTGTGGGTGTAATTTATGTTAAATAATTTATCAGACTAATATATAAAGAACACTCAAATCATTAAATACTGTCAAATTAAAAAAGCTAAATTGATAAATCAATAGATTGCAAAGCTGTTCGTTTATCCTATCATTAATTAATGTTTTGTGTAAAAGGGTTGATCCTTATATCTCTGCCACCAGAGCTGAAAACTTTAGAATTGGATATCCTTAATCCTGATCGCTTAATCTGAATATCCATTGTTGAAACTTTTAATTTTCTTTTTAATCCGCTCTTGTTGGATATCACATTTCCTACTACATATAATAAAGTTACGTTTGATGACAAATACAAATACGATGCTATATCGATTGAACTAATATCCGATTGAACTAAAGTCAGCTGTTTACAAGCCGGCTTTTAGAGAATTTAAACAAATATAAATTTTATCATTTAAGTAAGAACTTACTAAAAACATGATTTAAAAACATGCTTTATCACGTTTGAGGACTATTTTCCCTTTGAATGCTAGTCTTAATAAACATTAATCTAATAATTACGCGTTCGTTCAATCGATCATTATAGAAATAAAAACCGGTTTTTCTAAAGTTAAAGAGACCATCTCTAATCACTAGAAATTAATTTAAAGACTTAATTAGTCTGGAGATTAGAAAAAAGAGAGGATTAAGCATTGATCTCGATATCCGCCAATCTAAAGTTTTCCGCTCTGATGTCGTAAACCTTTAATATTTGAAAGTGTTAATTTAGTGAAATCCAATGGTAAAAGATTGAAAGATCAAAGGTTTACATCATCAGGTTGTAATCAGGTGTATCATGCACACAATCTCTTGAATAAACAAGAAAACATTTAATAGAACCTTATTAAAACTGTTTAATTATTGCCAAATTTAAAGGAATAAAATGCAGAATTTAAAAAGAATATCCTCTCGGGTTAAAATTTGCAAGTTAAGCAATTCAAATCTAATCTCTAAATGTTTTCTTTGCTTTAACCATTTATTTGATTAATTCAAGATTTATGAATTCGTTTGCTCGAGGTTATACAGAAATATAGAATACAAAAAACGNCTAAATACTATATCCAGGCAGCAGCATTAAAGGGATTGTTTTGAGAAAACCAAATACTATATCCAGGCAGCAGCATTAAAGGGATTGTTTTGAGAAAACTAAATACTATATCCAGACAGCAGCATTAAAGGGATTGTTTTGAGAAAACTAAATACTATATCCAGGCAGCAGCATTCAAGGGATTGTTTTGAGAAAAATAAAATACACTATAACCAAGCAGCAGCATTCAAGGGATTGTTTCGAGAAAACCATGCAGTGGTAGGCGATTTTATCAATACAATGAAGACGACTTTCGATTCCAACTTTGATTTATACCAAGCTTTTAAAAATTGAATATACATAAACATAGAAGTCAAGAGAATCGGTCAAATAAAAAAGCTTATCTTTGATTATTTAAAAAAATGGCATCTTCATTCTTCATTGTATTGAGATAATCGCCTACCACTGTATATCCGGGCATTATTTCAGTTTTTAAGAGACTGTTCACCTTTCTAAAAATAAACAAATAGCACTAATTTTCTAATTCAGGAATATCAAGTTTAAAACCGGTTTTATTGGGAATATCAAGAATTCAAGAACTTTCTCGATATTTATCCTGACGGATTTTAATGAAATTTATACGAAAGATGAAAAAAATCGTATTGGCAAAAAAATTGGGGTTAAAAATGAGGGGCTGCTTGACAGGGGGGCAGGTTAAAACGTAAATTTACTTAGACTAAGATTATATTTTGGATTTTAAGAGGGGGAAGGGCTTTTCTACTCTAACCTAAGAGGGGGGGGGGCCTCTCTCCACTTCCCATACAAAAACTTTTTGTGACATAAAGCTACAGATCTAAAAACTATATTTTTGAAAAGCCCTTGAAAAATGCATGTAGAAACATGTGTCACACTTTGATATTTGTTTAAAACAAAACAAAAATATTTTTTTCATTTTTTACCCTTTTTAAGGCATTTTTTCCACCTTCCCCAGCACACAAACTCTTAAAGTTATCGGTCTAATTTTATTTTCTTTGAGCTGTCCATGAAAAATTGGACTATGAACATGCATTTCAATCCAATACCCATTCTCTATGGCCTATACATAGATTCAGACTCCCCAGCCTTTATAGGGTTAATACACAACCTGGCTTTATTTTGAAAAATGAAATTTAAGTAAATGTTAATGATAATACATTAAACAAGTGTGTTTAGTGATTACTAAAAACTATATTTTTGAAAAGCCCTTGAAAAATGCATGTAGAAACATGTGTCACACTTTGATATTTGTTTAAAACAAAACAAAAATATTTTTTCATTTTTTACCCTTTTTTAGGCATTTTTTCCACCCTCCCCAGCACACAAACTCTTAAAGTTATCGGTCTAATTTTATTTTCTTTGAGCTGTCCATGAAAAATTGGGCTATGAACATGCATTTCAATCCTATACCCATTCTCTATGGCCTATACATAGATTCAGACTCCCCAGCCTTTATAGGGTACATACACAACCTGGCTTTATTTTGAAAAATGAAATTTAAGTAAATGTTAATGATAATACATTAAACAAGTGTGTTTAGTGATTACTGACGTATATATCGTGATCAAATACTAGTTAGTGTCTTCTCCACAATTTTTCATGAATATTATAATGCATATGCAGCAAAGGCGTACACAGGAATGTGTCCATGGAGGGGTCTTGGTTTTGGTTTTCATTCCAGGGGGGCTTAGCACCTGTTGGGACCTGTAAACCTCCGGAAACCATTAATTTTACTGATCCAAGAAGGTCTGAGGGTTCGGTATCATTTCGCCTAGTACACTTTCGCTTAGTTCACTTTCGTCTAGTACACTTTCACTTGGTACATGTTCGCATAACAACTTTTTTGCCTATCTAATTTTGACACATTTTGTCTATTTAATGTTATCTATAGGCAAACTGTATATCTAGGCAAATTGTTATAAAGATGCAAACTTGAACTCGGCGAAAGTGTAATGGGCGTACTTGTGTATAGGCTTATAAATGTTACTAAGCAACCCCAGACTAACCAGAGTTAGAGGCATTCGGTTTCTTCTATTTGAAATCATACGGGTTTTGGTTTATATTTTAACAATCTTTAAACTAACAGATTTGTTTGTTTAATACTTTAAATTCAAAACGTATATGCCGGCAAAAAAGCATGTAAGAAAGAAGGCTGAAAAATTATGTTT